TGGGCCCACCTTGCTCTCCAGCTTGGTCTCCGTCCTCTGCGTGGTCTTGATTTTATCCCACGTGTCCTTCCACTTATCCGTCGCCTGGCCGAGCTCGGCCTCCAGACTCTGCAGGTCCTGCAGCAGCTTGGTGATGGCGTCGGGCACCACCTTGGTCAGGTTGTCGTAGCACGGCCACACAATGTGGCGTTGAGATTTAGGCCCGCTGGTGTCGGGTTTCTCCGGCGTGTCTTCGGCCGCGCGCTCCTGCCGGCCCCTCAGCTCCCAGTCGTAGGACGGCCCCTCGGACAGCGTCTCCTCCGTGTAGAAGTCCCACACCTTCAGGTTGGAGATGAAGGTGTACGGCCTCAGCACCTGGAACACACGGCGCTTTCATTAAGCACGAGTTTGTGTTTCGGGCGCCGCAGGCTGAGTTTGTGTTTCAGGCGCCGCAGGCTGAGATTGTGTTTCGGGCGCCGCAGGCTGTGCTCGTGTTCTCACCTCGTCGTCTTCAGGAGAGAACATGTAGTTGTAGAAGACGGGCGTCTTCTTGTTCAGCCTGTCGATGTAGTCCCACACAGACTTGCACACCTGAGGGTTTTTCCTCTCGCCTTTCTCCTCGTACAGCACGCCTACACACACACATCGGTTACACCAACCTTCGAGCGTGGAATCAACGCGGGCTCGGTGTGTACTCACCCAGCTCGATGCGCTCGTAGTCCGAGTCGAGCAGGAAGGTGCGGAAGCGGTTGGAGACGTAGTGGTAGGCCAGGAACTTCAGGTAGTACTGACTGAACTCAAACTCCATGGGGAACTGGAGGTGGATCTGAGGGTGGAGGCACACAAACACATGCTGTGTGTTAATTAAAGGTTAAAGGTCTGCTCTGAATCGTGTTGCAGCGCAGCGGCTGTGAGAGCATCCGGAGACAAAGCGCCTTGATGGTGGATAAACAATCAGCTGTTGTACCTGGTGCACACAGTCGAGGAACTGCAGGAAGATGGGGGTGAAGCCGCTGCTCTGGCTGCCCAGCGTCTGAGCTCCTCTGTGGCTGAAGCGGTGGCCAAACGACAGCCACTCCTTCTCCACCAGGAGCCGGAAACCATCGAATGTCCTGTAGTAGGGATCAGAGAGCAGCTGCACCAGGGACACCACCTGCAGAGAGACGCAGCATCACACACTCTGCACCCTCGCAGCTTGCTCTAGCAAAACCAAGCAGCCAGCGTCTGTCAGACCTGCGTGGTGACGTCCCAGCCGTCCTCCAGGCTGACCATGACTGACGAGCCCGTGTCCAGCAGCTCCACCACCAGCACAGACACCTGCAGCACCCTGTGGAGCTGAACACACGCAGTCAGCACAAATAAGACAACAATCGGCTGAGAAACACAAAGCGCGACGTACCAGCGCCATCCACTCGGACTCCTCCAGGCAGCGCAGGAAGCTCATGTTGGGGTCGGAGGTCGAGGAGCTCGGTACGCAGGCTTTCATCAGCTTCTTGAAGCTGTTCTTCACCTGCCGCACGTCGCACACCTCGATGGGGACCACCTCCCACTGCTGGAACGAGTCCTGCTTCCCTCCCTGAGGACAACACGGTTATTGTTGAAGACACCAAACACATTTGTTTTCTGCCCTCTTCCCCCTCGAGCAACACGTTAACGTAGCGCCCAACACGTGTGTCAGTCGCAGGATTTATGTCCTACGTGTACGAACTGACTGTCAGTGTGACAGAATGAAGAGGACCGCTCTGCTCAGAGGTTTCTGACTTCAGTTTAGTCCCAGAGTGGATCTGCAGAGTTCGTTTGAAGCTTGCTGAGTACTGTTGACACCCAGAGTCTCAACTAAAGTTAGGTTGTAATCCAGCGCTTTGTATTTGTATTTATGTGAGTTGTCAGAGTCGTGTCAGTCAGCTTTAGCTCTGAGTTTAGAGAGTTTTCGGTTACCTTGAGCTGAGCTTTGTCCCCGATGATGTAGAGGTACGCCTTCTGCTGGCGGAGGAACATGGCCTCGCTCGGCCCCCCGTTGGGCTGTGGAGACTCTTTCCCAGCCAGACGTGTCCCCACATCTGGGTTGTAGGCACTTAGACGCCCGCTGCCTCGGATGCTGCCCCATTTACCTGCAGTTTTAGCACAAACACACACCTTTAAAGCCTGTCGATGTTAGACGCCATTAAAGCATCGTTCCACTCTATAACAACCTGAGCTGTACAGAAGTGGAAGCTTTAATGTGTCTACAGTGTCCACGGCTACAGACGGCCATGCTGGTGATGAAGGTCTAACTGTTGCTGACATTCAGCAGCCAGAAGAATCAAACAGTAAACAAACAGGACGTCAGACAGCAGAGCTGCAGCAGCAGCATGCACGCTGAAGAACAAGCAACAACAGCTCATTAGTCCTCAGAGACAGCACGCCACCAGGAGGACGCCAGACACAGACGCTACTGTTAGACATCTGATTGGTTAGAAAGGAGTGGTAGAGGGGAGTCAGGGGCGTGGCCTACTGTACCTCTAGGAGGGTTCCTGGCCTTGCCAGACACTTTGGGCTGAGAGAGGGAGATGACTTTGGCCCTTTGACCCAGAGCTGAGGTCAAACAACAAAGACGGCCAATTAACCAACAATGGAGGACACACACACACGCACACACTCAGACACACACACACACACACACACACTCTCTCTCTCTTTCTCTCACACACACACACACACACACTCTGAACATCAGGATGATCTGCTGTAGCCTCGTCCACCTGCAGCTACACAGTGAGCAGTGGAGGAGGAGCATCTCACCTCCTCTGCTGAAGGTTCCAGGAGCGTCCTCCTTGGCGCCCATCACCTGCTTCATCAGCGCTCCGATCTTGGGCTGCCTCAGCTTGTCTGATGAGTCTGTGAACAAAGGAAACATCAGCTCTGTGACCCCGCGGTCACGTGGCAGTAAATGGTCACGTCTGTGAGTCACTCCACCTACCGGAGGTGTTCATGTGTGTGGATGTGAAGCCGCTCAGCGTGTTTCTGCCACTATTCTCGCTGTAAGAAGGCATGGAGCTGATGATGGCGTGGAGATACTTCTCCTGCTCCAGACTGGTGGAGTCGGCCTGAGAGGGCACTGCACAGAGAGGAGACGCTCAGTGTGCCTTTCCTTTCACACCACAGCACATGTTAGCGTGGTTACAGGGCGCACAGAGGATGAGACGAAAGCATCTCTGTACGTCTGCAAAGATCAGCCAGGCTGGCCTCAGGTTTGACAAACTAAAAGCTACCATCTGCATCAACTTTGAACACGTGAATCAGGTTACCTGCAGTGGGGGCATTGGGAGACTTGAAGAAGCCCACCACCCCCTTGGCGTGAAGCCCCGCCGAGCGCAGCAGGACGGCCTTGGTCCGTGAATTCCTCCAGCACACCACGGGGAAGCGGTTCTGCCGGTAGCAGCGACAGATTCTGTTGATAGTTGAGTCTGGGATGCTCTGAGGGACGATCAGCAGGCCGGGGTAGCTGCGGCACACACGACACGCGGTGAGTCACATGACACAAACTATACGTGGACCTCCTGCTGTACGATCCACTGCGCCCTACCTCCTGCACACGGTGTACATGCGGTTAGCGGTGGAGATCCTGAAGGGCTCGTTCTTAGACCGCGTCAGGCTGTTACTAAGCGTCCCCAGACCCAGACGCTGGTAGTCACGACAACAGGCTCGCTCTACAACGTTGCTCATGGTCTGCCTGTCCGACGAGCGGATGGTGGAGGACAGGGTCAGGGAGCTCTGGTCCACTTCCTCTGAGACTGTGGAGATAAACAGCAGCGCTCACAGAGTCATCGGCACTACACAACCATTCACGTCTGGAAAACGTTAACGTTTGGGGAAGTCTGTGAGTCCAGGAAATCTGCCAACATAAAGGCTGGCGTGGTGAAAGTGCGGTGGTGTAAGCTACCTGAGATCTCATCTTCATCCAGCTCTGACTGGAGGCTGCTCCTGTTCTCCCAGGTGGGAGGAGAGTACTTCTTCCTGGTCACATATTGGCGGCCGATGGTTCTCTTGGCACTCTTCACCAGGTTTTTGGAAAGAGTCCTGAAACAAACAAAGGTACACGACGTTGAAATGAGCCACAGTCCTCGGCGTTGGATCCTGATTAATCGACTCGCACTTGTGCGTCATGTTGTGTCACAGAGACGAGTCAGAGTGAAGGGAGGGTTTGTAGCAGAGAGC